TCAGAGAGAAGGAAAGCTGTACAGTGTGTTTCAAGCCCTGTGTCACAATCCATTAGGGCAGTCACTGCAGTAGATTACAACCAGCATTTACAGAAACAGAAGAGAATGGAAAATATCAGAGTGCAAATAGTAAGCATAAGCATTGTGAGAAGGTTTGTTTGGACTCCACCATGTATGGGTCTATGTTTGTACTGGGTTTTGATGTAAGATTTATTTCTCACTGTAGGTCAGAGTTTAAAATGTTTGAAAGGCACTGGTTGAAAAAGCAGTGATTATTCACATATTTTTTTTCCCCATTATATGAGGTAAGTTATCTTCTTCCACAAAACTCCATTTTTCATCAGGAACATACTAGCAATACATTAATGAAGGTCTTTTTAAGGTTTGTGAAAACTAACACATGCACACCAGGGTGGGGTCCTTCCAGTTAAAGGTCCTGGGCTGGAACCTGTCCTACCACCTACAAATTGTATGACACTGGATTCTTCACATATAACCTTTCTTAGTGTCCACTGCCTCCTCATCACCCCTAAATGCCCTAAGTATGTCATAGATGTCAAATAAAACAATACGTGTATAAGTGGCATACAATCAGAAAGTATGTATTATTTCTCATTGGCCTCATTTACTAGTGACAGTTGAATTCTATGTTGGCTCCATTGCTCACAACCCTTGAGTTCAACTCTGCATATACATGTATTCTTTAGAGCAGTGGTTCACAACTGGCCGCAGATTTTATTACCTGGGTATTTTACAAATACCAATAACTAGACCTCATCTTAGACTGACTAAATCAGAAGTCTCAGAGATAGACTCAGGCATCTGGAATTTTAGTGTGCATCCAGAGCTAAGAATCATTGTCCTAGACTGGATTACTGCTGTATTTTCTTTATTTTTAAAATTCTGTCTGCTGTCTTCCTTTCTCTATAAATACAGACAAACACATGTGCACACATCTTTTTGGAGTACATTCTTTTATATTGTAGCTGACTTCAAAAAGAAATGGAAAAAACCAAGGCTGATTTACTTAACTTTTTTACCCCTAGTCTAATTATCCAGGTACATTAAATGTGAAACACAAAACCTCTGACACCAAATTTCTATAATTAAAATCGTTAATTTAGACAAATTATTACTTTGGGCATTCTCAAGGAAATCCACAGTTTTTATTTATAAGGAATTATTTTTATTTTTACTTTTTAATTATTTTTTAATTTAATTTTAATTTATTTTTTCAAATACATTTGTCTCTGCCTCCCCCCCACCACTTTCCCTTGCCCCCTCCCTCCTTCCATCCCTCAGCTCTTCCCCTTTGGTTTTGTCCATGAGTTCTTGCTATATGTTCCTTGACTTGCCCCTTCCCTTCCTTTTCCCTGCCCCGCCTTCCCTCTTGTCTCTGATTTCTTTTCCTTTCAGTGTTGCTGGTCTTATTTTCCTTGCATCTTTGTATTCTTGGTTAGGTTCCAATTATAGGTGAGATCATATGGTATTTGTCTTTCGCCCCCTGGCTTATTTCGCTTAGCATAATGCTCTCCAGTTCCATCCATGCTGTCACGAAGTTTAGTAGTTCTTTTTTTCTTTCTGCGGCGTAGTATTCCATGGTGTATATGTACCATAATTTTTTGATCCAATCATCTACTGATGGGCATTGAGGTTGCTTCCAACACTTGGCTATTGTAAATTGTGCTGCTATGAGCATTGGGGTGCATAGGTTCTTTTTGTATTGGCGTTTTGGGATTCATAGGGTATAGTCCCAGCAGGGGAATCACTGGATCAAAAGGCAGTTCCATTTTCAGCTTTTTGAGGAAATTCCACACTGCTTCCCACAGTGGCTGCACCAGTCTGCATTCCCACCAACAGTGGACTAGGGTTCCCTTTTCTCCAGAGCCTCGCCAGCACCTGTGGTTTGTTGATCTGTTTCTGATGGCCATTCTGACCAGTGTGAGGTGGTACCTCATGGTGGTTTTGATCTGCATTTCTCTGATGGCATATAAGGAATTATTTTTAAATTTTTGAGAGAGAAGTAGAATTCTACAGTGAACAAAGAGAGCACAAGATTTGAATTGTCTTTTTTTCTTTTGGGTATTTTAATTGTTCAAAGACACAAAAGCAGTCCAACAAATCACTTTTCAAAGACAAGTAAAACCCACACATTATTACTGGGTTAGGGTCTTGTGCTCCTTTTTATTAATACTTAAAGAAACATCTAAAGAAGAAAAGCTCCAAGATTTTCAGCGCAAAGACAAGAACCAGCCTCAAGGCCACTGACTCACTCTGCTCTGCTTCTTTCCTTACGTGTGATCATCATGAAACCTCAGGATTAAAATAATAAGTTGGTCTTTCAAATGAGTTTTAAATGTAAGATACTTTATACATTTAAAATCACAAAGTTAGACTCAATCTCAAGTACAGGTGATCATCAAGTACTTCCTGAGCTTTTAATGTGTTTGCACGTTTGGTGGATACAGAAGAGATTAGTCACATGATAGAATTTCCTTGAGTCTAAAGGCTAATTGTGTACATAAAACAAGACAGAAGTCTATGATGACTTGTATTGTTTGTAGACATTATAAATACTGTAAGTTTTAAGGTGAGAAAAAATAAGTGAGGACTGTGGTCATTGAAAAGGGTGGATGCTCCAGGGACATGTAAATTCTCAACACAAAATTCATAACATATGAGAGGTGGTATGCCCACACATGTGATGGTTCATATTCATGGTCATTTTGATTTCCTGCAACACACGAGTGGACTCTCAACACATACACACACATTACACTCTCAGTACCTGCCTGGTGTCTTTCTTCATTTACATTATATTTTATCCTTGTAGGAAAAGTTCAGCATCCCCAAGAAGTTAGAAGTTTTCTTCTCTACCTTCCATTCCTTTTCCTCATTCACTCCTCTCCACCACAAATTCACCTCTTTTACCTCACCCTGGCTTTCCTTACTTCTTGAGGTACCTTTATTTTTTTCCTAAACTTCTCTTCTCCGTTTTCGGAAGGTCTTCTCTCCTTTTTGACTTTTTTTTTTAATTTCTGGAATTATTAAGTCTGGTCAATACCTGCAATCTAAGTCTGGTTATACCTGTGGCAGCCCTGAAGGTAGTGATGGTATATTGGGGTAAGACAGACAAAGGTGAGGCCAGAAGCAGCTGCAGGAGTGACAGAACTGCAGGGTTCTCTTCTGGTCACAATGTAGGCCTAGGTGGATGTGCTTTGCTTCCTTGCACAACCAAAGAAGGACAACAACAAATTTAAAAAACAAACAAAAAAAACCCCAGAATTGCCAGGAAACCAAACTGTATGGAAGTCTGACAACCAAGGAGTTAAAGAAGAAATGTTCATCCAGACTGATAGGAGGGGCAGAGATGGGCAGCTGAGACAGAGAGAACATGTGGCAAGGCAGGTGCTGGAGGAAAGGGTGAGGTGGTGGCTGGTGGACCTGGTGGTCCCACATTTGCCTGTGGGTAAACCAGGAGGAACGACTGGGGAATGAGACAGACCGGGCAGCCAGGGTTCCAGTGCAGGAAAAGAAAGCCTCAAAACCTTTGACAGTAAAAACCTGTGAGGGGTTGCGGTGGCAGGAGAAACTCCCAGCTTCACAGGAGAGTTCATTGGAGAGATCCACACTATCCTAGATCATACACAAACCCACCCACCAAGGAATCAGCACCAGAAGGGCCCAATTTGCTTGTGGGTAGTAGAGGAAGTGACTAAAAGCCAGCCAAGAGCCAAGCAAGCAGCATTGTTCCCTCTCTGACCCCTCACCCACATACATAACCACAACACAGTGCTGAGGTGGGTTGCTGTACCCTGGCAAATACCTAAGGCTCAACTCTCTACAAAGTAACAGGAGTGCCGAGACAAACAAATATGGCCCAAATGAAAGAACAGATCAAAACTCTAGAAAAAATACAACTAAGTGTTGAAGAGATTGGCAATCTACCAGATGCAGAGTTCAAAATACTAGCAATCAGGATGCTCACAGAATTGGTTGAGTACGGTCACAAAATAGAGGAAGAGGTAAAAGCTATACAAAATGAAATAAAGAAAAATACACAGGGCACCAGCAGCACAGGGTGAAAGGAAGGAAGCTGGGACTCAAGTCAATAATTTGGAAGGAAAGAAGGAAGAAATAAGCATTTAACCAGAACACAATGAAGAAACAAGAATTCAAAAAAACGAGGAAAATCTTGGAAACCTCTGGGACAACTGTAAACATTCCAACATCCAAATCACAGGGGTGCCAGAAGGAGAAGAGGAAGAGCAAGAAGTTGAAAACTTATTTGAAAAAATAATGAAGGAGATCTTCCCCAATCTTGTGAAGGAAATAGAATTCCAGGAGATCCAGGAAGCTGAGAGTCCCAGAGAAGTTGGAGCCAAGGAAGCACACACCAAGGCACATCATAATTACATTACCCAAGATTAAAGATAAAGAGAGAATCTTGAAAGTAGCAAGAAAAAAGGAGAGTTACCTATAAAGGAGTTTCCATAAGACCATCAGCTGATTCCTTAGAAGAAACGTTACAGGCAAAAAGGGGCTGGAAAGAAGTATTCAAAGTCATGAAAGGCAAGGACCCACATCCAAGATTACTCTATGCAGCAAAGCTATCATTTAGAATCGAAGGTCAGATAAAGTTTTCCCAGATAAGATCAAAGTAAAGGAGTTCATCACTGCCAAGCCCTTATTACATAGAATGTTAAAGGGACTTATCTAAGAAAAGGAAGAAGATCAAAACTAGGAACAGTAATATGACAACAAATTCAAAACTATCAACAACTGAACCTAAAAAACAAAAACATAAACAAATTAGGCAAACAACTGGAAAAGGAACAGAATCACAGAAATGGAGATCACATGAAGGGTTGTCAGCGGGGAGGAGTTTTGGGGGGAGAATGGGGAAAAAGTACAGGGAATAAGAAGCATAAATGGTACATACACAATAGACAGGGGAATGTTAAGAATAGTATAGGAAATGACCCCCAAAAGCGTCTGTCTTTCCTCCTGGCTGCAGCATTTCGGAGATCAAGAACAAACAGCGGCGACACTTAATGTTCATGCAGTGGAAACAGCAGCAGCGGAAGGAAAAGTTGGCAGCTAAGAAAAAACTTAAAAAAGAGAGAGAGGCTTTTGGTGATAAAGCTCCACCAAAACCTATACCCAAAACCATTGACAACCAGCGAGTATATGATGAAACCACAGTAGACCCTACTGATGAAGAGGCTGCTTATGACGAAGCTACACAGATGCATTTGCTTCTTACTTCAACAGACAAACTTCTCCCAAGATTCTCATTACAACATCAGATAGACCTCATGGGAGAACAGTATGATTTTGTGAACAGCTCTCCACAGTTATACCAAATTCACACATTTATTACAGAAGAGGACTGGCTCTGAAAAAAAATATTCCACAGTGCATCTCAAGAGATTTCACAGATCTGATTGTTATTAATGAAGATCGTAAAACACCAAATGGATTAATTCTGAGTCACTTGCCAAATGGACCAACTGCTCATTTTAAAATGAGCAGTGTTCATCTGTATAAAGAAATTAAGAGAAGAGGCAAGGACCGCACAGAACACATACCTGAAATTATTCTGAATAATTTTACGACACGGCTGGGTCATTCTATTGGACGGATATTTGCATCTCTATTTCCCCATGATCCTCAGTTTATTGGAAGGCAAGTTGTCACGTTGCACAATGAACGGGATTATATCTTCTTCAGATTTCACAGATACATATTCAAGAGTGAAAAGAAAGTGGGAATTCAGGAACTAGGACCACATTTTACCTTAAAATTAAGATCTCTTCAGAAAGGAACGTTTGATTCTAAATATGGAGAATATGAATGGGTCCATAAGCCCCAGGAAATGGATACAAGTAGAAGAAAATTCCATTTATAAAGTAACTGAAGGAATAGTACTGGATTTTGATGAGTAGGTCTATCTTGAAATTGTGACAGAAGACACTTCAAAAAGGTATTTAATGACAGCATTTTCTTTCCTGTCTGGACAAATTACCTAGTGCCACGAATTACTACTCACTGTTTCTGTAAGAAATACAAATAAAAAGTCATTTTGATAAAAAAACAAAAAGAATAGTATAGGAAATGGAGAAGCCAAGGAACCTATATGTGCAACCCATGGACATGAACTAAGCGGGGAGAACACTGGTGGAAAGTAGGGTGTCAGGCAGAGGGGGGCAAAGGGGAAAAATGGGACAACTGTAATAGTATAATGAATAAAATATACTTACAAAATAAAAAAGAACTGGAGGGTTCTGTTAGAGAAGGCCAGAGACAACCATCTTCCGTTGCCAGCTACCTGACTCAACTTTCTCCACCTCTGGGGTATGTGTGAGAGGGTACAATGGTAGTGTCTCAAGAAAAACATCAAAACAAGCTAGGGTGTCAGAAAAGCCAATGGAAATAGCAAAACAAAAACAAAAACACCTTTGATTAAACTATCTCTGGGTTTCCTCCAAGAATCCGGAAAGAAAAATTAACACCCAAGTCTTTCTGGATGAAGCTGAGCATGTCACAGGGGCCTGAGCTCCACCACGTGAAGGACAAAAAACACAAGCAGAGGAGGATAGCCCATGGTGGCATCAAACTATTGTTTCTTTGCCTTTCTCCTACCACAGGTTATTTTAAACAAATTGAGAGATTCTAGAGACAGGAACTAACAACAAAAAACAAGATGACAGGGTTATTAATGATTTAGCCGGGTTTCCTGAATGTACAAATAGCTGAATGTGGAAACAATGACACATAAAATCATTGTTGCTGGAACTTGGGATTAGGGAAGCATTTCTTCTAAAATAGGGCCAAGATAGTTCCAAGGAACCAATGACGATCATATATATAGTCTTTGTGAGAAGACTGTACTGATAGTGGTGAATAATTCAGTCCTAAGAACACAGAGGCAATAGGTCTAAAAAGTGTTTTCCAAGATTGAAGCCAGTCCTAGCTGGTGTAGCTCAGTGGATCGAGGGCCGGCCTGCAAACCTAAGGGTCACTGGTTCAATTCCCAGCATAGGGCTCATGCCTGGGTTGCAGGCTAGCTCCCCAACAGGGGGCATGAGAGATGCAGCCACACATTGGTATTTCTCTCCCTCTCTTTCTCCCTCCCTTCCCCACTCTAAAAATAAATAAATAAAATCTTTAAAACAAAACAAAACAAAATTGAAGCTGCTTACAGAAAAAAACAGGTAAGTCTGCTGTAAACCAAACCATGGGGAGGAAATGTGCATTTTGTCCCTTTACTTGGTGAGGTAACAACCATAGGTTTTACTTTTCTAAAAAAATTCTAAGAAAAGGGAGAAAACTGAAATTTAAAAAATAATGCATCATTTTGATGGTATATTTGAAAATACATCCTTTATTGAAGTTCCATTTGTGAATGTATTTTTAATCTTATTAAAAAATAAAGGAAAATAGACCAAATATTTCAAGAAAATAAAGATATTAATATACTGATTTGTTTTCCAGCTTCCAAAAATTATTATTTATCTATAAAATCCCTGTGTAAAAACATATAGCTTCAACTGGTTCATTCAGAGAGGAGAAGTTGAAAATGATATTCATAGGGGGAAGAAAAAGGAAGCACCTGCCAGGGGGGAAGAAAAGGCACAGGCATGTCCCCAGACACAGTGATACCATTTCTAGTATAAATGTCACTAGTGGTTTTAACCCCAAGCAGGAATGAGTCTGCTCACAGTCTTTTCATAAAGATTCTCAAAGTTCCACTGAGATGGGAAGACAAAGAAATTATTCTTGTGACAATATTATTTCAGAAACGAATGATGTTTGACCATGTCCTCCTCAGGAACCTAGAAAATGATGTGATCTCTATAAAAAGGCATTATGGATTCCCAATGTGAGGTGTTCCATTACTTTAAAATAAGTAAATTATTGGTTACTTAATGAACAGCCATGTAATTTACATGAAAGAGAGCCAAAATCAGCATTGTTATTTAAATTTACTTTGGGACTAAATTTTTAAGGTTGAAAATGACCCCGTGGTTTTTTTCTTTCTTTTTTTTTAAAGACACTGTAATGCTAAAGTAACAGCCCTGACTGGTGTGGCTCATTTGGTTGGGTGTTGTTCCATAAAGCAAAAGATCACAAGTTCGATTCAGGTCAGGGTACATGCCTGGGTTGAGGGTTTGGTTTCTAGTTGGGGCATGTACAAGAGGACACCAATTGATGTTTCTCTCTCACATTGATGTTTCTCTCCCTCTCTTCCTCCCTTTCCCTCTCTCTAAAAATAAATAAATAAAATATTTTTTAAAAGAAAGAAGTGTACAACAGATCTTATATAAGAGAACAGATTTATGGCTCATAATATATAAAAGTTCTTAAATATTGGTGAAAATCACCACACTGTGTACCTGGGCTGGACTTTGGCCCTAGAAGGGATCCAAGAACCTATGAGTCTGAACAAAGACCCAGCTATACAAGAGAGTTTATTCTGCAAAACCTCCATGTCTACTGGAGATGGCAAAAGTGGTCTAGTAAAGAAAGGCAGATGTAGTTTGAATTGTTTAGTCTTCTATGTCTTGAACCAATCCACCCCATTAAACCAAGTATGGAGTGGGGAATTAGCAGGTCCTCAACTTATCCCTGTAGGCAGGCTGCGGGTGAACATGGTTGATAGATGATGAACAGGTGGCTGCTGTCAATAAAAGCCAGGACAGTATGATTCTCATATTCCTTGCAACTAGCATAGTGCCCCAAATTTGGTAAGTACTCAATAAATATTTGTGAAATGTATGAGCATAAGACCATCTAACACAAATGCAATTCTGGAATATGATGCCAGGGGCAGTGGTTCTCAAAGTGTGCTTCCTTGTCCAGCAACATCAGTATCACCTCAGACCTTGTTGGAAATGCACATTTTTAGGCTTACCTCAGATGTACTGAATCAGGACATCTGGGCATGGGACCAATAATCTGGGTTTTATGGAGTCCTCCATAATACATGCTAGAGTTTGAGAACTGCTGAACTAGGGAAGAATGGCATTTCAGGAGTGAAAAATCTCCAAGAAGAAAATGAATATGCACATAGTGTTTTGATATTACCAGCTTCCTAGGCACTTTGATTTCTGTAAGTGTTTCATTCCCGTGACTCTGGACTTTTAATACCTTTTGCCTTTTGGAACACATGTAAATGTTACAGGGACACATACATACATACACATAGGTCTATCTTAATTTTTTAGGCATCCGGACTGTTTCAAGTTTGATTTGTCTGAAAGTTAGATCTTTGAGCTTTTTAGTGTGCATTTGTGACTGCACATGTGTGTATGAGTACATAGGTATGTTGTAAATAAATATAGAAATTATTTATATAGAAAGTACACACTATCTTCAACTGACCCATTCTGGAAAAACAAACACACACACAAACAAACAACTGTATCATGAGAAATACTTTACTGAAAAGGACCGTGGTAAAATTACAATCTTATCACAGGAACTCTGATTTCTGATGTGACCAAAAAGAAACCCATTGCTATCTGGGAACAAAGACTTGGGGAAGCTTTCACCAACACAAGACAGCCCATTTTCCTAACTAGGCCCTCTTTATGATGTAGTGTTAATTATTTTTTAGCAGTCCGTTATTTAAAATTAATACTGTGACTGAATCAATTTCTCTTCCCTTTAACATTTCTCATTTCTGCTCAATTCATATAAAGGTCTAATTTTTTCAAGAATTCCACTGACAATACTAAACATGTAGATCATTCTACATGTTTTGAGTTTCCTCCTTAAATTGCATTTTGCCTCAGCATTCATTTTCATCTATAATGGAGAATATACAACTTATAGTCATATTAAAGAAAATAAATTTTTTAAAAAATATATTGTCAAAATATCTTAATGATTGAAAGAAAACTCTACTTCTGATCATACTGTACCCACTCTCTACTCTTTCCCTTACATGTTATTTTGGCTAAGGGAATTAAGTTCCTCTATGCATCATTTCAAAACCAGCATGAATGTCACAGAAAAAAACTGAGGCCAGGACAGCATTTAGGTGTCAGAGGAGGTAATGGTAATTAATGGAGAGTAAAGAGCTTTCTACTTTTAATTCTCTTACTTGTATTTTAGTTAAAGCAACTGGTCAGCTCTTCTTTAGTAATTACTCTAATACACTTCATAATATTTTCATTAGACTGTGACTGTTACATAGTGATTCATTTTGTCATAGCTGAAGGACATAGAAAGCAGCCATCTATTTAGGTTCTAGCAGATAAATCTCACAAATGCCCATGTTTCCACCTTGTGCAGCCAAATGCAAAATGTGTGACTAAGAACTTTTTAAGAAAGTAACCCTTTTCTTATCTGAAGTCATATTTCAAATTTCCTACTGGAAATCTTTAGGTTTTAGAACATTGAAATGAAATTTAAAAGCATTTTCTCTACATTCTAGGTTTGAAAAATGATTCTCCTTTGTTGATGTTCTTATTTCCTTTTTTACTTTGCATTGTTTGTTTTGCCTAAAAAAAGATGAGGTCAAGTGATCATCTTTTTAAAAAAATAATAATGAAGTCAAACAAATCCATAAGAAATGAGATACTACTTAATATCTCAGTAGGAAATGAGAAAAAGGAAAGAGAAGGGGAGAGAGAAGAGGGCCAGAGACTATGTGTGTGTGTTTCAGGGTTCTGAGGCTTCCCTTACAATGGGAAAAGCGCTATCTATCATAATCTGACTTCATTGGGCCTGTAGGAGAAAGACAAAATGCTAGCAGTGATGTAGAGCCCTTATCAGCTTCTGTTCTTTACTATGTATTCCTCTCTTTTTTAAACTCTTAGACGACAGTTACTTTAGCCTCAATGAGTTTGCCACACTTTCAACTTTTCACTGCAATTCATCAGCTATTTTGGTATTAGATAGTTTGTGCATTACAAAATA